CCAGAGGCTGCTCTCTATGACTGGGCACAACCCACAGCTGAAAATCTGGCAACAACGATTGTAGTCCCGCAGATACAGGCTGAATCATTCCAAATCACGAATAACATGTTGCACTTGTTGCAAAACAAGGGACTATTTTCGGGGTCACAAGTCGAAGATCCTCAACAACACTTGAAGAATTTCCTATCAATCTGCAAAACCCAAAGGCAGCCTCACGTAACTCCGGAAGCAATCAAGCTATTATTGTTTCCATTCTCAGTGACAGGAGCTGCCCAGACCTGGCTAAACTCACTCCCCGCAAATTCCATAACAACTTAGGAGGAGTTAGTCAAGCAATTCCATAACAAGTTCCACCCACCCAACAAGACTGCTCAACAAATTGATGAAATTTTAAGTTTTAAACAGAGAGCAATGGAGACACTGCATGAAACATGGGAACGCTTCAAAGGGATGCTGGTTATATGTCCGCACCATGGTATTCCAGATCTGATGTTGGGGCAGCGATTTTACATGGGATTGTTAGATAGCGTGAAGAACATAGTTGATGTTTCAGCTGGTGGAGCATTTTTGAGCAAAACATGGAGAGAAGGACAGAGTCTGCTTGACAAGATGGCACATTATTCTGGATGGACAACCAGGAATGCACCTATCACCCCAGTGGTTCACTCTGTGCCCTTAGATCCATCCAACTCTATGGCTGAAAATATGGCCACCTTATTGACGCAGATGAGTATACTCGCCAAAAAGGTGGAAGAATCAGGTCAGAAGCAGCATGTACACATTGTAGATACTACCAATGGGGGCTTGTGCACATCTTGCATTAGTCAGCCAATTGGTAACCAGTGGAATGCGGAACATGATCATCATCACTACCCTGAAGACATGAATTATGTGTCTAATTATGGAGGCCAGAGACAGGGTGGTCGAAATTGGGGTCAGCAGCAGCAGCCATACATGCCAGTCCAGCCACAGTTCAACAATGGAAACATGGGAGGTATGAGACCTCCTAATAATATGGCACCTTACCAAAGGCCACAGGGATACAATAATCAGAATCAGCAGTAGGGGTATCATCCTCCTCAACAGCAGCATGGTGGACGGCAGGAAGATGGGTTTGCTAGACTCGAAGCAATGATGCAGCAAGTTATTGGGTCAAACGCAAAAATTAGTGAAAGAGTGGATGTATACGATTCAACTATTAAAAATATTGAAGTGCAGATGGGCCAGATTTCGATATCTTTGAATAATCGTCCTCATGGGACATTACCTGCAGACACTCAAATAAATCCAAAAGATCAAGGCCCCAAGCAGCTGATGGCAGTGAGTCTACAAAATGGCAGAGACTTAGACGTGGAGCAAGAGAGGGCTCGAGAAAGCAGACAGGCTGAGACACTTATACAGTGCCTATTGAGCTAGATGAGTCAACGAAACTGACAGAGGTGACAGTCCAGCCCGTCCAGGAAGAACAGAACATTCAGATTGAGGCTGATAAAGAAGCTGAGACAGCCCAGGAACAGGTAGTTGAGGTGGCAGCTGATAAAGAGCAATCCCAAATCATTGGGAAGAAGAGACCTCCCGCACCATTCCTTCAGAGGCTTGACAAGTACCAAAAAGAGGAGCAATACAAGAAATTCTTGGAGATGATGAAACAAATCCAGGTAAATATTCCATTGATAGATGCTTTGAAAGAGATGCCTGGGTATGCAAAAATAATGAAGGACTTAATGTCCCAAAAATTCAATTTCCAAGACTTGGCCACGGTGACTCTTACTCAGACCTGCAGTGCAGTGGTGACTAGACCAATTACTGAGAAGCTATCTGACCCAGGGAGCTTTACAATTCCCTGCACCATTGGTAATTTTGCTTTTGCCAAGGCACTTTGTGATCTAGGGACCAGCATAAATCTTATGCCCCTGGCGATTTATAAGAGGCTGGGGATTGGAAGAGCTAGACCCACTTCTATGTTGTTACAGCTGGCTGACAGGACCGTAAAAAGACCTTCTGGTATCCTGGATGGTGTGTAGATTCAGGTAGGGAAATTTGTGTTCCCTGCAGATTTTGTGATCTTAGACTGCAAGGTGGATGAAGAAATTCCCATAATTTTGGGAAGGCCGTTCTTGGCCATTGGGAGAGCTCTCATTGATTGTGAGACTGGGGAGCTCAAGATGAGATTGAACGATGAAGAAATAACATTCAATGTGCAAAAATCTATGAGGCGACCAAGTGAATTCGCCAATTGCTCTCTTATTGATGCCGTGGATGTAATTGTAGAAACTGATGACGAGATGCTGACTATTGAGGAGCCTCTTGCTGCATGTCTGATGAATTTAGATGAGGTGAATGGAGAAGAACTGGCAGAATGGGTGTTGGTGTTAAAAGGTAGAGGGTTCTGGGACAGAACTCTTGAATTTGAGCCCTTACACTTAGAAAATAGAGAAACTCCTCCAGCTAAGCCATCCATTGAAGAACCACCTAAGCTGGAATTGAAGCCACTGCCCGCCCATCTCAGGTATGAGTTCCTTGGACCTGACTCCACATTACCTGTTATTATCTCATCTAGTTTGTTAGATGTGCAGGAACAACAACTCTTGCAGGTACTCAAGGAGTGTAAGACTGCCATTGGGTGGACCATGGCAGACATTAAGGGTATCAGCCCTGCCTACTGTATGCATAAAATTCTGCTGGAAGAGGGACACAAACCTTCCAGGGAACATCAAAGAAGGCTGAACCCCAATATGAAGGAAGTGGTGAAGAAAGAAGTGATAAAGTGGTTAGATGCGGGAATCATTTTCCCAATCTATGACAGCAGCTGGGTCAGCCCGGTGCAATATGTGCCTAAGAAGGGTGGCATGACGGTGATCAAAAATGATTAAAATGAATTGATCTCAACACGAACAGTCACGGGCTGGAGAATTTGCATGGACTATAGAAAGTTAAATCTGGCCACCCGGAAAGACCACTTCCCACTTCCCTTCATTGATCTGATGCTAGACAGATTGGCAGGGAGGTCTCACTTCTGTTTTCTGGATGGGTACTTAGGGTACAATCAAATATCTATTGCATGTGAGGACAGAGAGAAGACCTCCTTCACTTGCCCATATGGCATTTATGCGTTTCGGAGGATGCCCTTTGGCCTATGCAATGCACCCGCCACATTCCAAAGGTGCATGATGGCCATATTCACTGACATGGTAGAGGACATAATGGAGGTATTCATGGATGATTTCTCAGTGGTGGGGAACTCATTTGATGAGTGCATTATAAATCTGTCTCGTGTGCTTAAACGGTGTATTGAGACTAACCTGGTTCTTAATTGGGATAAGTGCCATTTCATGGTACAAGAGGGCATAGTCTTGGGGCACCGGGTGTCAAGTAAAGGAATTGAGGTGGATCGCGCTAAAGTCGACGTGATAGCAAAGCTGCCACCTCCAACTTCAGTCAAAGCAATTAGGAGCTTCCTCGGGCATGCCGGTTTTTACCGGAGATTCATAAGAGACTTTTCAAAAATTTCCAACCCTCTCTGTAAGTTGTTAGAAAAAGATCACCCCTTCTTGTTTTCTGATGATTGCAGGGTAGCATTCGAGGAGCTGAAAAAGAGGCTGGTCACAGCACCCATCATTGTTGCTCCCGATTGGGAGCAGCCGTTTGAACTCATGTGTGATGCCAGTGACTACGCAGTGGGGGCAGTGCTGGGACAGCAGAAAGACAAGCTAATGTATCTAATCTACTATGCTAGTAGAACGCTGAGTGGAGCCCAGCTGAACTATACTGTGATTGAGAAGGAGATGTTGGCGGTGGTTTTTGCTTTCGATAAATTCATATCATACCTGATCGGCTCTAAGGTAATTGTATACACTGATCATGCAGCTCTCAGGTACTTGATTGAGAAGAAGGAGTCTAAACCGCGCCTGATTCGTTGGGTGCTGTTACTGTAAGAGTTTGACCTCGAAATTTGTGACTGTAAGGGCACAGAAAATCAAGTCGCTGATCATCTATGATGACTTGAGGGAGCTGAAAATTCAACTGAGGTTGAGGACATTCTGGAAACCTTTCCAGACGAGCAACTGCTCGCGGCCAATCTTGAGGAAGTGCCATGGTATGCAGACTTTGCAAACTACCTGGCATGTGGCATAGTTCCTTATGATCTGTCCTCGGTACAAAAGAAAAAGTTTTATCGTGACCGCCGCATGTATTATTGGGATGAACCTTACCCTTTTCAAATATGTGTTGACAATATGATCCGGAGGTGTGTCCCCGAGATAGAACAATCTTCTGTTTTGCAGGCATGTCATGCATCAGCGTATGGAGGGCATTTTGTAGGAGTTAGGACAGCTGCGAAAGTGCTAGAGGCCGGGTTCTTTTGGCCAACAGTGTTCAAAGATGCGCACCAATGGGTGAAGGGCTGCAATGAATGCCAGCGAACCGGGAACATTTCCCGGCGCCATGAGATGCCAATAAACCCGATTCAAGAGGTGGAAGTGTTTGATGTTTGGGGAATTGACTTCATGGGTCCCTTCGTCAGCTCCTTTGGCAATAAGTACATACTTGTTGTTGTAGACTATGTGTCTAAATGGGTAGAAGCTGCAGCATTTCCCACTAATGATACAAGAGTAGTCGTGGGGCTTTTGAAGAAGAACATATTCACCCGTTTTGGGACCCCGAGAGCGATTATCAGTGACGGAGGCACCCACTTCTGTAATCGAGCTTCCGAGAAGTTGCTAGCAAAGTATGATGTACGCCACAAGGTGGCTACCCCTTATCAACCGCAGACCAGTGGACAGGTGGAAGTGTCTAATAGAGAGATAAAGATTGTATTGACCAAGACTGTGAACGCCACAAGAACTGATTGGGCGAAAAAGCTAGATGATGCACTCTAGGCTTATAGAACTGCTTTTAAAACACCAATTGGTATGTCACGATATAAGTTGGTGTTTGGGAAGGCCTGCCACTTGCCAATGGAACTTGAGCATAAAGCTTGGTGGGCACTGAAATAGCTGAACCTAGACATTGAGGCTGCGAGCACAACGAGATTCACTGAACTGCATGAGCTCGGCGAGTTTAGATATCTGGCTTTTGAAAGCACAAGGTTCTACAAGGAAAGAATGAAGAAGTTGCATGACCAGAACATTGTTGAGCGACATTTCAACCCCGGGGACAAGGTATTGCTCTACAACTCAAGATTAAGGTTATTCCCGGGAAAGCTCAAGTCACGATGGTCTGGTCCATTTCGGGTGGTCGAAGTATTCCCTTCAGGGGCTGTGGAGATTGACTCGGAGAAAGTCTCTCACATATTTAGAGTCAATGGGCAGAGATTGAAGCTATACATAGGCATGAATGAACCAAAGGAAGTGTACGAGATCCATCTGACGGAACCTCAGAGGTCGAGCGAGCCTTAAATGCGCTTGTCTACGTCATGCAGCGATGTTAAATCAGGCGCTGCATGGGAGGAAACCCATTGAATTGTTGTAATCATCGTGCCACGACTTTAACTAAGGCGCTGGTTGGGAGGCAACCCAACGATAGTAGTAGTTGTTCATTGTGAGTTTTGGGAAGTACTAACCAATGCAGGTGACAATGGGCGGGTGATAAGGCCATCGAAAGTGGTAAGAACGAGTGAAAAATATGAAAAAAAGAGTGCCCAGGAGCGCGCCCGCGCTAGTGGTCGCGCTACAGGCCGCGCATATGGGCAAGTATTCTGCGTGGGATCAAAATTACTAGCGCGGCCGCGCTCGTACCGCGCTAGTCGCACCCACATCTGGGCGTTTTGTGTTGTTTTTTTTTTATTATTATTTTTATGTTAGTTTTTTTTAATGTAACCTTAACTATCCCCTTTTTCTAATAACCCCCCCCTCTTTCCTTCCAAACTGTGACAACCCAACCCATCGTCACGTGTGTTACCGCCCCGTTTTCCCCAATTTCTATTTCTTTATGCTTCATTATAAGTGTTTGGTGTGAATGAATTGATTTGGATTGGTCCTAGAAAGAAATGAGACACTTAGTCTCTTTAAGGAAGGTTTGTTTTGGAAAAGTCAACNAATTTGATCCGATGGTCGGAATGGAATTTCGAGAGTTGCAGTAGCTTCTTAGGTGATTTGGGATGTGTGTGCAAAATTTCAGTTGATTCGGAGGTGTTTTGGTCGGGTTTTTGATCGAATGCAAGTTTCGGAAGATTTGGATGAACTTAGGCTTGAATTTGATGTAATTTGATGGTTTAGGTGTTATTTGTGGTGTTTTGATGATTCGAGCAAGTTTGAATAAGGTTTTGGATCATGTTTGTGTTTTTGGTTGAGGTCCTGGGGGCCTCGGGATGGTTTCGGATGGCTATCGGGGAGTTTTGAGCCTTGGTGAATTGCAGGCTTCTGCTGGTACCTGGTATTTTCGCACCTGCGGTTATGGGACCGCAGGTGCGGTTTCGCAGAAGCGCAGGAGGAAGCCGCAGAAGCGGTTTTGGGTCTTGAGGCAGTTTCCGCAGAAGCGGAAGGGTGGACTGCAAGAACGGTTTCGCTGGTGGGGAATTTGGATCCGCAGAGCGGCCGGTGCTTAAGTGGAGTCCNATTAAGCTTTTGTTGTTGTTGTTGTGTTGCACCAGTGTCATAGATCTTCCTGCTTCGAAAGTTCTCCTCACCATCCATCCTGCATGCATTGGTATGACCATTTGATCAAACTGTTGATTCTTAACATAGTAACAGTGTATCCATCTGATCCACATTCTATCCACCTTATGTTCAATGTCCCAGTTAGCTTTAATCATAGCTGCCTTATTCCACAATCTCATATTTATCAATCCCAATCCACTCATAGATTTTGGAGTGCATACTTTCTTCCATGCTATCAGAGCTTTCCTTGTAATTGTGTTGGTACCAGACCATAGATATCTTCGACAGTAAGCTTCAATTGCATTTAATACCTTGGAGGGGATAGCAAATATTTGTGACCAATAGGCCTGAATACCAAATAAAACTGTTTGGATTAGCTGTGCCCTTCCTGCATATGATAGTTTCCTGGCAATCCAAGCAGTAATTCTAGACACCATCTTGTTGATCAAAGGTTGCCACTGAATTAGGGATATTTTCTTTGTAGCTAAAGGTATCCCTAAATATCTGAATGGTAGTTCTCCTTTAGTAAATCCTAGCATCTGCAGAATTTGCTTATGTATCTCTTTAGTAACCCCTCTAAAATAAATGGAACTCTTATCTTTGTTGGCTTGAAGACCTGAGGATTCAGTGAACTCCCTGAAGCATTTTCTAATAGTGTCCACAGATTCCATATCCCCTCTTGAAAACAGCAACAGATCATCTGCAAATGACAAGTGAGTTATTGCTAGCTTAGAACACTTAGGGTGATATTTGAAACCTTTACTTCCTTTCATTTCATTAAGCATCCTACTCAAATATTCCATGGCTATTGCAAATAGGAAAGGAGAAATTGGATCTCCTTGCCTAAGTCCTTTAGCTGCATTGAAAGGAGCTGTTGGTTTACCATTGACCAAGATGGAATAATTCACAGTTGTCACACATTCTAGCCCCATAAAATGAACTGATTAGGAAATCCCAACTCCTCTAACATCTGCTTCAGGTATACCCATTCAACAGAGTCATAAGCCTTCTGGAGATCAATTTTAATCATGCATCTAGGGGACACATTCTTCCTTGTGTATGCCTTCACCAATTCCTGTGCCAAGAAGATATTGTCTGAGATCTTTCTTCCAGGAATGAATCCAGTTTGAGCTTCACATATCACTGTTGTAATTACTTTCTGAATTCTTGCTGCTAGGACTTTGAAAATGACTTTATACATCACTGAACAACATGCAATGGGTCTATACTCCTTCACATTTGTAGGATGCTCATTCTTAGGGATTAGAGTCACAGATGTACAATTGATAGCTCTATTCATCTTGTTAGTCTCAAAGAACCTTTTAACTGCTTTTATGATTTCTGGACCTACTACACTCCATGCTCTCTTATAGAAATAAGCATTGTATCCATCCAATCCTGGAGATTTATCATCCCCAATTGATCTTAACCCTTCCATTATCTCCTGTTCTGTAACTGAGGAGCAGAGGAAAATTTGTTGATCATGATTGAGTTTAGGTCCCTTGCTCATTACTAACCTGTTAACTGCCCTTAAGGATTGCTTTGAACTTCCCATTAACCCTTTGTAAAATGAAACAATTTCCTGTTTTATGTCTTTAGGATTAGTCAGCATCTTACCATCTTTCAATGCTTTGAGCTCTTTGATTTGTTTCCTTTGAGTTCTATCTTTTATAACAGCAGCAAAGTATTTTGAATTTGAGTCTCCAAGCTGAATCCACTGAGCTCTAGATTTCTGCTTCAGTATACTCTCCTCTATCAGACTCCATTTTTCCAGATTCATCAGTGCAGCTCTCCCTTCACTTAGCAAACTGTCATCATAGCTTACTTTCATTGCTGTTTGGACTCTCTGAAGGTCTTCTCTGGCTTTGTCAATCTTCTCCACTGTCCCTCTGAATTCCTGTTGGTTTAGCTGTCTGAATACATGTTTCATTGCCTTCATTTTTTTTCCAGATATTCTGCATGGGATCTTTATCCAATTGCTTCTTCGACTGAGACTCCACCAGCTGCAGGAACTGTTCATGCTCACACCATATATTAAAGAATCTAAAAGGTGCTATGATGTTTTGGTTCACTTTAAGCAGGGTTAACAACATAGGGGCATGGTCTGAAATATTAGGTAAATCATATTTAAGTACAACATGTCCCCAATTCATCATCCAGTCATGATTTCCAAAAGCTCTATCAATCTTGCTATTGACTTTTTCTCCTCCTTTTTGCTTGTTTGTCCATGTATAATAGTCACCTTTCCACTGTAATTCATTTAATAGAGTTGTATGAATGCATTCAGAGAAATCCTTTACTTCATTGAATATGACAGGATGGGAACTCTGTCTATCAGCAGTTACTAGCATTGCATTGAAATCTCCACATACTAGCCATGGGCAGTTAGTGTTCTGTGCTATTTGTTTCAGACTACTCCACAAACTGTGCCTCTCCTCCACAATATTGAAACCATAAACAACAGTCATCACACATTGGAAATCATTTGAAGTGATTTCACAATGTATTAATTGAGCTTCCACCCTTAGTACATTGACACTATAGGAGTTTTGATCCCACATCAACCAGATTCTTCCATTGACATCAGCTGAATAGTTATGGACAATACCCCAACTAGCATTTATTTTGTAGCTATCTTCTTGTATCTATGTTCCTTAACTCTTGTTTCCACCAGTCCCAGCATTTTTATATTTTTTGCTTTTATATAACTCTTTAACTCTTTTTGTTTGTACACTTTATTCACCCCCCCTAATGTTCCAGAATAGACAGGTCATTGAGCTATGATAGGTCCTCCTTGGTCAGGAGGTTTAGCTTGCCTTATTCTCTGCATCTCTCTCTGTTTTAACCCTGTAGCTCCAATCCTAGCTTTGGACACCATCATTGCACTCAATTCAGAAAAATTGGTTAGGTTCAATTCTGGATTAGGCATCTGCTCCTTTCCTTTACTGAGACTTCTATCCTTCTCATCTGGTGTTGCACTTTCTTGTTGCTGCAGTTTAATCATTCTATCATCCACTCCATTTAGATTACCTTCTGTAGTCACCTGTTGTTGTTCATCATTCTGCTTGGGCATAGTTTCTTTTGGCTTCCATTCCTGCACTATCTTCTTTTGTTCCCCTCCTCTTCTGTTATGTACTTGTCTATCCATCACTTGCAGCTCAGGTTTCTTAGTACAATTGTGTCCAATAACTTGACATTTTGGACAGAATTGGGGCTTCCATTCAAACTCCACTTCTTGTTGAAACTTTTTTCCATCTGGATCCATTACTACTATTGTATCCGGCAGTGGCTTGGATACATTAACTTCAATCAACATTCTAGCATATGAAATCTTCATTTGCTTAGTTGTACATTCATCAGCAAATAGAGGTTTGCCTAATGCACTAGCAATCCTGCCTAGTGATCCACATCCCCAACAACTCATAGGAAGTTTAGGAAATTTCACCCATAGCAGAATCTCTATCATAAACTCTTGCTTAAAGTCAAAATCAGGGTTCCACAATTTCAGAATAATTGGTCTATTCCTCATAGTATAAGGTCCAACAAAGAGTACTTCATTCATATCATTTTTGCTATTGAATCGAGCTATAGATATCCCTCCTCATGCAAATACAGGTCTGGCATAGGAATAGAGTTCCAACATTTGAGAAATATACCTGTGCATGATAGTATATCATGGTGTCTCTCCCAAAACGTAGACAATAAGTGAGTTTTTCCATTTTTCTGCTTCCCTGTCTACTTCTTCTTTCTCCAGTTGCACTATCGTCTCTCCATCAACTATTTGGGGAGGAAAATAGCTTAGGGCCATTCCATTTTCTGCCACTCGATTTCCTGCAAATAGGGAGTTCCACTCTGGCTTAATCATCTCCTTAGCTTCCTTTTGGTTTTCATCACTCTTTACTGTTGGATCAACTGTTTCTCGTGCTAGAACCACCTCCTTTTGAACTAGATCTGTGCTTAGTTTCCCCTGTTTTCCTTCCTCTTCCTTAGAATTCCCAGTCATAGGAGTTTTCTCCACATCCTCCGTTGTTTTAGTTGTGACAGCTGAGCTCGATGACGGATCTAAAGCTTTCACAGCTGAGCTCGATGCCGAATCTGAAGCTGGGTACTGTTCCATTGGTATTTTTGTCACTGGCTGCTTTGATGTTGATGCTTGCTCCTTGGATTGAACATGCACTGAACTTCCAAACGCTATTTGTATCTCTTTTCTAGGTCGTCCCCTTCCCCGACCTCGCCCCCTTCCCATGGAGCTCCAGTGCGTACGTTAGACTAACCTACGCTTAGAGAGAAGCTAGAGCTCTAGTGCGTTTTTTTCTTTTTTTTTTTCCTTTTTGTATTTGTAACTTTTTTTTTTTTTCTGATTTTGTATTTAAAAATGGGACCCACAAATAACACATGGCAAGTAATAAATAGCTTAGCATGATGTGTTGTCATGTCAGCGTAATTGATATACACGCTCTGGTGGATGTGTTTATTATTTCCCATTTTGTCAAATTGGAGTGTTCAAATGGGAAAATCCAAAGTTCGTGTATCGGCTTTCAAAAGCCCTACAAGTTTAAGTGGCCAGGAAGCCATTACGCCCAAAGCAAAAGATACATCCAATAATCACTTCATCTAAAAGTATTAATCTATCTATCTATCTATATTATCTATCTATCTATATTATTATAAAAGCACGAACGTTGGATGCTAAATGTTGAACGACAAAAATATCCCTAAAATATTGACCGACCTTTATGCCCTCTTTTAATCTAATTCAACTATTAATTTATTGGTTATTTTAGTAAATAAAAAAGACATAGCACGATCAGACATAGAGTTCTAAACAAATAATGCTTCTGAATTTTGGTTCCAGATCAAAGAGTCCTTGCTTATTATACAAATTTAAGTACATTATTATTTTGGGGAATAAGTTCTTCAAACACTTATTCTTTAGGCACAACTTCAAGCAATTTTTCGTCCACTAATCAATTTTAAGATACTAAAATTCAACATGAACGAAAAGCTAAAGTTATTTTGTAATCTAAATATTGACAAAGTTTCAATTTATTTTTCAAAAAACTATATTATCACTTTAAATAAACGAGTTTCCACCATTTGAATTGGTATTGCGGTGGTTGTATCACGGCATAATATTGATTGAATTCCATTTGAAGCTCAATTAAAGGTTTAAGATAAAAACTAAAGAGACCTACGCATTATAACTCTTTTTAAGATCAGCAAGAAGGTTTTTTTTTTTTTACTCACAGAGATGCTTTTCAGAAGAATTTGAACAAAGAAAATGTGAAAAAAATTATTTTTACCAGAATTAAGTTTATTTGACATAGATGGTCAATAGACTACTGGAGCTTTCTATTTAGGCATTGAATTCGTACAAGGATCTCAAGCATTTTCAAAAGGATCCCTTATACTATTAGACAAACCCCATTAGTTAATAATTATTTCAGTATTATATGATCTTTTTCATGATATACTTAATTGTTAGGTGTTATTGCTTCATTAAAATATTTCATCAGAGTTTTACATTTTTTCATACTAAGGTTATAACAATGTGTTTTCATGACATTTTTATTAATAAAATCAAAATGTAGAGAAAGAATATTGATTTCCATGTCAATTCTATAAGCGAAATAGCAATATCGTCTCAAGGTTTTTTATTTTATTTTATAAATCTTAGGTATGTCAATATTTTTTAAATTTTCCTAAGACATTCTTGTACTCCTATTTTTAAAATTAGAAGTGTCTAAATCATCTGTTTTATTTTGTAGAGATTCTGAAATAACATATTTTATCAATGTAAAGCAGGTGAATCCTTTTCAATTATTATGACAAGTTTTTAAATATTTCTAATTATTTTGAGCTTCAACTGTTATACACTTTTAATATCTAATACTTTCGCTACCTTTTTTTATTTCTCATCTTTATTTTAGTCCTAAAGCATTATGTGCGAGGCACGTACATAGAGAGTAGTACTATATTAAAAGTACGAAGGTCTTTAATGAAATGTCGTTCGCCTTTTTTACCCTTCATAAGTATATTTTGCGTCGGATAAAACTGTAATTATAGACACACAGAATTTGAAAAACCAAATTTCAGCAATTAATATCACATAAGGTTTTGCTATTATATTTTATCAAAGGTCGGTTTTTCATAGTATTAGTGTCATTTTAGGCTTATGATTCTTTTACCAAAGTTGCTCATCAAGTAATGTTAGTTTATGTTTAGTTTTTTTTTTTGTGTGGTTATAATTGCCGTAGGACACAATTTAAAGCTAATTTTTGGTTTTTCAAAATTTTCAAATCAGAATCCAATAAGGAGAAGCAATTAATGTCACTAGGTCTAATATTCTTCTACCATATTTGCCGTAAGATACAAAGTCAATTTTTGGTGAAGTAATTAATGTCAGTTTAGGTTTAAAATTCTTTTACCAAACTTAGTCAATTTTATTTTCTAGAATTGTAAAATCAAAACCATTTAAAATAAGGAGGAACACTTTTATAAAACGAAGCCAACATTTCATTTTTTTTGTCAATGTTTGAAAGATAAATTTGTTTCTGCTTGTCAGTTTTAATTTTTGAGTACAACATTTCATGTACGATTACCAATTTAAAATTACTTATTTATAAACTTTGCATAGGTTTTTAGATCATTGCATTTTGTATCATGCAATGTCAACATTGCAATGTTTGTATTTTTGTTGTGTATTGTAAAATTTTTAGTTGAAGGTAACTACACAGTAGTAGTCAAGTTCCTATTTTTCCTTTAACTTGCTTTGTATGTTTATTCATTTGTTTCTAGTGCACTTTGAATCAAAATGAGCCGTGCTGTGTGTGTTTTTCATTCTAAATTGTATTTGTGAGAGTTTTGGTTATAAAGATATTTTTTGTTATATATACACGTCAAATATCAGTTTATTGTTCCAAATTTTTCATGTTATAAGTTAGATGAACAATTGATTGGATCAATCTAAGTTAGTAATTATGATAATAGTTTTATTGTCCACTCTTAATAAGAGTGGACTTAACTGACTTATTTTAAACTATGGTATTTGGTCTTATTTTGATTTTATTGTATTTGATTTTATATAAATTTATTGTATTTGGTTATATATGCTTGTATAGGGTTTGTACAAAAGGTCTTTTGCAGTATTTAGTAGCTTATATTATTAAGATAAGAAATATAGTTTTATACTTTTAGGATGACATCGTCTAATAATTCTCTTAGATTCAAGAGATTTTACATTTTAATGGACATATAAGTGAGTAGAGCTGAAGTAAGATATCCTCTCTATATTTCCTTCCAAGAATTCAAAAGGAAGTAACAAAAAAAAGTTGTCATAGGCGACAAATGCTTGAATATAAATTGAGACTTGATATATAATTTAAATATATTTTTGAACTCATAATTTTATAACGATTGAGTTCATCACAAGGGTGATAGGACTTCGTCACGATATCAAAAAGATACTTATTTAATTGCAATTTTTTTAAAAAAGAAATTGTTGATCTAGCTAAATAAGATTATTTTGTAAAAATTATATTCATTATTTTGTAAAGATTTATATTTTTTTTAAATATTTAGTTTATAAACTCAAACACATTATAACTTTTTAAAATTTTTCTAAAGACTAGTATGTTAAATAAGGACTAAAAGGGTTTTTTAACCAAGTGCTGTAATTTAACAATAGTACGATGTTCTCCCACTTTTTCTTCTGTATTCCTCGACTTATAGAGCCCGTTTGGATTAGCTGATTGTAAATAGCTGAAAATTATTTTTAAGTGCTGAAGCTGATCTTTTAAATAAGTATTTACGTATTTGAATTTTGGATAGACGTGCTGAAACTGATAATAAGCAGTTGATGTGTTTGGTAGAAAAGTGTGAATAATTTGTTCTTTTATGAAAATGACTAAAATATTCTTAAAAACTTTACAAAAGATTATAAATTAAAAAGTTTACGAATATGGAATGAAAAAAAAGTCTAAAAATTTATTTTGGAAAAAATATTTTGTGAATTAAAAAATATATTAAGGATAAACTAGTAAAAACCTTGGTCAAACTAAAAGTGCTTATAAGCTAAAAAGCCATATATTCTCTTCCTTCCCTCCTGCTCCTAGTTTCCAGACTAGAGGTAGAGGTTAACTTCTAAAAATATTTTAGAGCAGTAAGTAATAAATCTTTCAAAACATTAGCACTATTCACGTCTATATTCCAAAATTTAGAAGGAAAAATGGAGAATTCAACAAAAATAGTTGAAAATCCTAAAGGATATGAGGAGTGGAGTATTGTGAATTAGATATGGAAGGGGGAAATTAGCACCAACGAAAATAATGCTGCTACGACGTCGTTCACAATAGCACTTCTCCCTGTTAATCGTTAGGATTAGCAGTTGAAACTTGACACTCTCCCTTTCTTTGGGTGTAGTGGAACTGCAATTACTCTTCCAAGTAGCGAAAGAGAGTCCACACTGCTGAAAGAATTCTCATATTAAATTCTTTCTAAATGGGTCTACTCTGGAGACCTTAGAGTTGAACTACAAAGGTTAGATGCATTTAGCTACATTTTCCTGCTCTTTAGTTCATGGGGGATAACACTATTTTGTTTTAGATAACTTCATATATATATATATATATATATATTTTGTTTATTATTTGAGGTGTTTATATTCCTCTTTAGGCCATATGAGAAATAACGTGTTTGACTTTGCAAGGTAGGGATAAGGTCCGTGTACACTCTAACCTTTCCAATAGCCACATTTTTGTTTGCTTAGTTTGGGATACCTTTTTCCTACTTTTTCGTGGGATTGGACTGGTAAGCACTGGCAGGATATTTACTTTGGGGAGTCAAAATATAAAGAAGTAAACCCATATGAAGAAGCCAAGTGTCAATGCCTAGTATATATACATAAATTCTTTTTTTCCCCTAGCTAGATAGTATAATTTTCCAATAAAGAGGTGTCGGCCCTTCAATACATGTGACTCCGCTACTGCTGGTAAGAACTACTGGCCGTATTTCATTCTTGCTGGTTTATTGCTGAGACGAGTGTAGATTTTCCTTTTTTAACTTTATGGGGATGAGAGTGGGACTGATTGTGTTTGGAGTACTGTATGACAACATAATCCCCTTTTTTAATCATTGTTTCCAACTTTCTAGCAGCTGTTTGGAATCTTCCTTATAATTATGTTCTTATAATTTGTGACTGGCAGGTGCTTGATCAAATGCCTTTTGCATCCTCTCAGTTGCATATTAAGTGCTCCCTGGGTCTTGGACAAATTACAGTCTTGAAAGAGTTCCCAACCAAAACATTGACGATGTAATTGCTGAAATCATGTCTGGAACTTCCCTTTTCTCCAACCCACCACTATACACTACTAGTACTACCTCAAAGTACATCCATAGGCCATCACCTCATAAACTTAAACTTTTGATAGACAAATCCAAAAGCATCAGACAGCTTTTACAGATTCATGCATTTCTTATTCGCTACGGCCTGGAGAGTGACTCGGTCTTGAACTTTAAGCTCCAAAAATCATACTCTTCTCTTGGACACCTCAAACATTCTGTTTCCGTCTTTAAGCTCACTCAAAGTCCAACTGTGTTCTCGTATAGTGCCATTATCCATAGTCATGTGATCAATGATCTCTGTGAACAAGCCTTTGTCTTTTATATCCAAATGCTAACTCAAAATATTGAGCCTAATGCATTTACATTTTCTTCCATCCTAAAAGCTTCCCCACATGAATCAGGAAAAGCCCTTCATTGTCAGGCCCTAAAACTTGGGTGTGATTCTGACATTTATGTTCGAACTGCTCTTGTGGATGTCTATGCTAGAGGCAGTGACATTGTTTCAGCTCGCAAACTCTTTGACACAATGACCGAAAGGTCTTTGGTGACTTTGACAACAATGATTACCGGATATGCAAAGAATGGGCATGTGCAAGAGGCAAGAGTGTTGTTTGATGGGATGGAGGAGAAGGATGTTGTTTGTTGGAATGCCATGATTGATGGGTATAGCCAACATGGTAGGCCTAATGAAGCTTTGGTTCTTTTTAAGCAGATGTTACTGTCAAAAGTAAAACCTAATGAAGTAACCGTGGTGGCGGCTCTTTCTGCTTGCGCGCAAATGGGAGTGCTGGAATCAGGTCGATGGATTCATGCTTATGTGAAAAGTAACAGAATTCAATTAAATAAACATGTAGGTACTGCTTTGATTGACATGTATAGCAAGTCCGGGAGTTTAGAGGATGCAAGAATGGTGTTTGATCAGATGAAAGATAAGGATGTCATAACATGGAATTCAATGATTGTAGGATATGCGATGCACGGATTTAGCCTTGAAGCTTTGCAGCTATTCAATGAGATGTGTGAGTTGGGTCTCCAGCCTACTGATATAACATTTATTGGCATTTTAAGTGCTTGCGCTAATGCTGGATTGGTCGCTGAAGGATGGGATTACTTTCACTTAATGGACAAGTATCGAATTGAGCCAAAGATTGAGCACTATGGTTGCATGGTGAATCTTCTTGGACGAGCTGGACAGTTAGAAGAAGCTTATGAATTTGTCAATAGTATGAAGATTGATTCCGATCCTATTTTATGGGGAACATTACTGACTGCTTGTAGGATTCATGGGAACATAAGGCTCGCAGAGAAAATTATGGAGTTCCTGGTGCAACAGGATCTTGCTACTTCAGGAACTTATGTTCTGCTATCCAATATATATGCTTCTGCTGGTGATTGGGATGGTGTGGCAAAGGTCAGGGCATTGATGAAGAGTAGCGGGGTAGACAAGGAACCTGGTTGTAGCTCCATTGAGGTCAATAATAAAGTGCACGAGTTCCTTGCCGGTGACATGAAGCATCACAAAAGCAAAGAAATTTACAGAATGCTGGAGGAGATGAACAAGTGGCTCGAGGCTCATGGTTACATGCCACAGACTGATGTAGTCTTGCATAATCTTGGGGAAGTTGAGAAGCAGAAATCGCTTGCTGTTCATAGTGAAAGGCTAGCCATTGCTTATGGGCTAATCAGTACTCAGCCAGGAACTACAATCAAGATTGTCAAGAATCTCCGTGTTTGTCCAGATTGTCATTCTGTCACCAAGCTTATTTCAAAAATCACAGGACGTAAAATCATAGTGAGGGATCGGAATCGCTTTCATCATTTTGTGGAGGGTTCATGTTCTTGTGGTGATTTCTGGTAGAACTATTAGCTAATGCTAACAAACAGGCAGGCTTCCATATATAGCTTTTTTTTTGTGTGTACATTTTTTGGCTCTATCGACGATTCTCCAGTCCAGGTTAACTTACCTCGTTTGCTGCTTCATATTTTCTCCTCCTCTTTGAGTTGTATACGAAGTTACTTCCTCAAATATCGTTGCAACTCTGTTACATTCATGTAAATTTTTTTGTATTTTTGGTTAGGATACTCCTCTGAGTTATATTCGAAGTTACTTCCTCAAATTGCGTTGCAACTCTGTTACATTCATGTGGAAAACACTGTATTTTTGGTTAAGATGCCGCTCCTTGAGCTTAAGGCCTGATTTTTTTATTTAGCTTTTGGTGCTCCTATTACTTGTGTAAACTTCAGTAATAGTGAATATAGACGAGTTTAAGTTGTGTGCACCGATGGAAAGATATTTATACAATCATGTCCCTTATTGGGTAAATTAGTGGTCAATTTCATGATAAACATTAATTGATAATTCAGTAAAAGTGGTAACTAACGAGCTATCTTAGGTTAAAATTTAATGTAAAACAATCCAATATATATATGTTGATGGTGGTAGCTTGCGCACATGCAACTATTACGTTGTGCTACCTGCTACCTCCAATCAGCATAAGTAGCAGATAATTGCCGTCCCACCAGCACAAGTATCGGGTAACTGTGCCACCAAGGCTTAGGCAGATTTGGCTTTCTTTACTTAGAGAGAAGTCCTAAGCTCTTTCTAAGTTTAATATATAGAAAGTTTGGAAAATAAGTCAAATCTCCAGATCAAGAGGTTGAGGTCTGAACTCCGGCGGAGAATACGTGTCAAGGGTCTTTGATTTCATGCTCCTGAAGATAGGAATCAAACGTGAGCTGTCGGGATTTGAATGTGAGACCTCATGGTTTTTCTCTCACTTCATAGACCACTAGGCGTTGGGTGCTATGACTTGTTGATGTATTGCAAGTAATGTTTTAAAGTTTGAGATTAAGTCCTTTGTGTGTCTTTCCTTATTTCTGTCCATTTTTATCTTACTTTTTCTTTTCTTTTGCGATGTGGAAAAAGATTAGAATTATTTAGTATTTTATTACCAGGATTGTAGTTGGTTTTTCCAATTGAAAATTCTTTGTGTTTCCTAGTTGCATTTTAGAAGGTACCATCTGTATGTCACTATGTTGTGCCGATGTAGGCTCGCAGAAAAAATTATGGAAGCTGGTCTCAAGAGATTGGGGATATTGCATCTCAGATTGGCCAGCTTTATTCTGGACAGTACATGAGGACAAGCGAGGCCAACTATTTGTCTGAGTCTTATATCTTTTATGAGGCAGTGTTGAATAGGGAGTATTTTAAAGATGGAATGTTTCAGGATGTTAGTTTTGCTAGCAAGCAACTTCGATTTCTTGCTCGGTTTATGACAGTTTGTTTGGTTTTGAATCGGTGAGACATGGTTTATCAATTAGTTAATCAGCTCAAGATGTTACTTGATGAATGCAAGAGGGCATTCCAGGTCAGTGACCGTAATTCTTAAATTTTATGTCCACATGCTTGTCCTGTAATACATGCATATATTTCCAATATATGTAATATTTTGATTCGCCAGCAGCACTGGAAGAAGGCACCATATGTAGTATGTCGAGTCAGATATATATTTTATCTTTTATAATTTAGACCTCTGCTCACACATGTATAGAAATCATTTTTTCTATTCCTTATTTGTGCCAGTAACAAAAATATGTGGCATGTTCAGGGTCTAAAATTTAGGATTTGTTTCCTGCTTTAGTAAGTGGCTGCTTTTATGGGATTGGATGATTGATCACCACAAACTTTTAGCTTATAATGTATTTCTTGGACATATTGATGAACAAACAACTTGTAGAAGCACATTCAGTGAATTCTTTTGCATCAAACATGAAATTGGCGATTTCTCAAATGTTCAATCGATTAATGGAATTTTCATTTGGTTGGCTGTACAATATGAATGCCCTTTGTATGGTATGACCTGCTTCCACTCACTTGACTTGTTTGTTGCTCATTGAGGATGTGATAGGCTAAGAAGGGATTCAACAAATGGTCTATATAAAGATGAATGACCTTTACATGGTCTTATTTCCAGGAAACTGATTTTAAAGAATGGAAGCTGGTGGTTCAGGAAATTGTTAAGTTTCTAAAAGCTGACTCGGCTTTTTATGAATACCAGGCCATTGAGATGTAGTGTCGTATTGGATCTTCATCCAGATTGCCTGCCACAAGTTGTTGAAGCAAAGAGAAAGCTAAGATTACGAGATACACTACTGTGCAGCTACCATCCCAATGAGGTGAGTCTTTCTTCCCTCGGCATGCCTACCTTCTATTCCAATTGGAAGTGATTGGGTTTATTGTGCAGCTTACTAATGAACTTGATTATCCTATTTTCATCTTGATCAACTGTATTAATGTTTGCTCGTCTTCTCTCTCAATGCAGTGATCAGGTTAAATATTCAGAACTGACTCTTGACACTTTCTGAATGCTACAATGTCTGGAGTGGGAACCTAGTGGGTCATTTTATCAGACGGGTGGGATTCCTCCAAGTGGGGCTGGAACTGGTATTGGCCAGAATGGGGCACCCGGACCCAGTCGTGTTAATTATTCACAAGATATATCTGATCCTACTCTGCCTCCTAACCCTCGCAAGTCCATCCTATATCGCCCGTCTATTACAAATTTTTTAGCAGTGAGTAGTTGCATTTTCCTAGTATTTGTTCAGCATTTATGTTTGTCGAAAAAGCAAATTGTAGATTCCGTCCTCTCATCTGCCTTTGATCAGTATACTCTTATGACTTCACTGAGCTTCATAGAAACTAAAATTTATCATCTATTACATTTTCAATATCTTATTAGTACAATGTGTATTAACTTGGTGGATGTGAAAGCTTGAACTCGAGACATAGTTGTTGTTGTTGTTGTAACGTGAAAGCCTGAAACTTGTTTTGGCACAAATGTGAGATGGGAAAGGTAACTGCTTATTATTTTGGGAAATTAGCTTTACTTTCCTGGTAGTATATGCTCTGTTAATATCACTCAGAGCTTTATTGCAACTAAAATTATTTTCGTTAGATGGAAGTTATTGAATATCCTTTTAGTGTCTTCTATAAAGATGGCCTCCCTTGGAAGCTCCTGGATTATCTGTAGTTTCCTTGTCATTGCATTCTCTTTACCTATTCTCCCTTAAATTAACTTTGCCATTTGTTGGCAGGTTTTGTCGACAATCTGCGAGGAGCTATCTCATGATGGAGTTCTTTTACTATATTTGTCTGCATGCAGGTAGTAGGTGTAAAGCTCTTGTATGTTTTTTTTTTTGACAAAGGTAACAGATATGTATTATAAAAAAAGAAACCCAGCACAAAGGTTGTGCTGGTAACCATTTACAGATTCCAAAAGAAGCAAAAACCTATCCTTGTTCTTCTTACAAGGACTCTATGATGTCTAAAATCGATTCTTCATCGTTCACATAATTTTCTTTACACCAAAAATGAAACAACGAGATACAGTTCATCTTTAACTTCTGAATAGGACTGCTTCTGTCTTCAAAACACCTGGCATTCCTTTCCTTCCAAACTATCCACCATATGCACATTGGGATCAAATTCCACCAGGTTTTTTGCCTTACACTGCCCTCCTGATTATTCCAGCATCTCAGTAAATCTGTTGTGGTTTTTGGCATATTCCACCTAAGTCTAATCATGCTGAGAAAAAGTTGCCACAACTGGGAAGTAACTCTACAGAGTAGAAACAAATGGCTATTGCTTTCTGAATCTGTAGAGCACAGATAGCATCTGGAGCTCAGTTGAAATCCTCTTTTCATTAGGTTCTCATGAGTTAGACAGGCCTGCTTAGCAACTAAACCATGAAAAGCATACCACTTTGAAAGGAGTTATTCTTTCAAAACTGGAGTTTTCAACTAAAACTGATCCGGTTAACAATTTAAATTTCGTGACAGGAGCTTTTTTTCATGTTCATCTTCTAATTCGAATTTTCAATCCAAACCACCTCAAAACTCCATCAAATCACCCGAAATTGAGGTTCAAACTTCTTAAGATGTACCCAATCTATTCTAATAACACCTACTCAAAGAAAGCAAAAATTTGACCATTTTTTTGCTACAAATAGCTAATTGGCTAATATTGATAATGTTTGATTAGTATTAGTAATATTTATTAAATTGACCAATTTTCGTAATAAACTACTTATAAATGGACATAACTGGTAGTTTCCCGTCAAATTATACACTACTTGAAGGAGTTGGGCCACAATCTGGTTTTAGAATGGGACGACAGTTTGCATCTTGTCCAAGTCCATATATATAGCACTGCGGCTCAACGTAAACTCTTTCCAAGCCTAGGGTTTAGACCAAAAACCCTTGAAAGGCCAGCGATATTCAGACTTCTTCCTCCATAGTGTCCCTCTTCGCCGCCTTCTAGTCTCGTAATTTCTTCACTCTGCATCTCAAATTTGATCTGTATTATTGTGCTGTTTCATCTATTCAATTAGGTTAAGAGTTGAGTTCATACTTGGTTATATTCATATTCTGGAAAAAAAAATCATATTCTGAAATTTTGTTGAAAATTTCGGCGAGTGGTTTATTTGGGTATCTGTAAGTGGGTAGGTTTGTCACTTTCGTTTTCAGTACATGAATTTAGATGAAATTTGTGCTTAAGATATAATTTGAGTTGATTGATTTGCTCTTTATTTTTGTGGAACTGAAAGTGAAAATAAAAGTTGCAATCTTTATGCTTCAAACATTTAAATTTTGATTCTTGTGTAGCATATTGTTTTCCCTTTTGATTGAAATCTCATTTTATTTGCTTTTTCCAATTCCAAAAATTATCGTATGGGAAAACCTTGTTAAGCTTCAGTGGATTCGTTATTGGGTATGAAACAGATCAGCTTTTACATGTTTATTTGGGGGATTTCAATTATTTAGTCGTCTAACTTCGAACTTGAGAAGTGTTACGTTTCATTTCAGTGTCATGGATTGAATGCTAATATCCTGTGTATTCAAGATTTCTTTTTCCTCTTTAGGTTGATTCGATGTATGAAGAACCTCTAACTATAGTTACATGATCGTAATTTGCAATGAATTTATCTATAATCGGATGAGGTGACTGGTGCGTCTATCTGGGCGGATTTTAAGATAGTCTCTACATACTGTAAAAGGTTTCTATTTTCATCTGTAATGCATCACATACTAGCATATTAAAGGCATAGACTGAAAAATCCCCAATGGAATAGTCTAGTGGTAAATTTGAACTTGTGGCCATAGAATTTTTCTCCCTTAATTGTGTGTATTTTCATAGCTTTAGGATTTGAAGGACCAATTAATAAGCTTTTCAATGGAAGATACTTTTGCTATTTGAATTGCTGATTGATTGGTTTGAGAGAGATCAGTTGGTTGATGGGGTTTTTGTGTGCATCTGCTGATGCTGTTTTTCGTTTTATCCAGATTATAAAAAATGGTGCAGTACAACTTTAAGAAGATTACGGTGGTTCCCAATGGGAAGGACTTTGTCAATATCATTATGTCTCGCACACAGCGTCAAACTCCTACTGTTTGTCCACAAAGGATATGCTATCTCTCGTATACGTCAATTTTACATGCGCACAGTTAAGTATACACAGCAGAATTTCTATGACAAACTCTCCACCATTATTGATGAGTTCCCCAGGCTTGACGATATCCATCCTTTCTATGGAGACCTTCTTCATGTACTCTACAACAAAGATCACTACAAGCCCTTGGCCAAATTAATACTGCTAGAAATTTGATTTCAAAAATTGCTAAAGATTATGTGAAATTGCTGAAGTATGGCGACTCACTCTATCGCTGCAAGTCCCTGAAGGTTGCTGCTCTTGGGCGCATGTGCACTGTTATAAAGCGCATTTGCCCAAGTTTAGCTTATTTAGAACAGATTAGGCAGCACATGGCAAGACTTCCCTCAATTGATCCCAATACTAGGACAATCTTGATTTGTGGGTATCCAAATGTTGGAAAGAGCTCATTCATCAACAAAATTACAAGAGCAGATGTGGATGTGCAGCCTTATGCTTTCACTACAAAGTCCTTGTTTGTCGGTCATATTGACTACAAATATCTGAGGTATCAAGTGATCGACGCTTCTGGTATTCTGGATAGGCCATTTGAGGATCGTAATATCATTGAGATGTGCAGTATTACAGCTCTAGCACATCTGAGGGCTGCTGTGTGATCGTAATATCATTGAGATGTGCTGTATTACAGCTCTAGCACATCTGAGGGCTGCTGTGTTGTTTTTCCTTGATATTTCTGGGTCTTGTGGCTATAGCATTGAGCAGCAGGCTGCTCTTTTCCACAGCATCAAATCACTCTTTATGAACAAACCCTTGATGATCGTGTGCAACAAAACAGACTTGCAGCCGTTAGAAGGGATTTCTGAGGAAGACAAGAAGTTAGTCGCAGAGATGAAAGATGAAGCCATGAAGACAGTGATGGGTCAAGGTGGCGAGGCAACTGATGAAGCAGGTGTGTTGTTAACTACGAGCAAGTTGACGGAAGATGGCGTGATTTCAGTGAAGAATGCAGCTTGTGAGAGGTTACTGAATCAAAGGGTAGAATTGAAAATAAAGTCGAAAAAGTTGAATGACTGCTTGAACCGCTTCCATGTTGCTATGCCAAAACCACGTGACCAGAAAGAGAGGCCAGTATGCATACCTCAGGCAGTGTTGGAAGCCAGAGCTAAGGAAGCTGAGGCAGATGCTGAGAAACAGAAAAGGAAATTTGAGAGAGATCTGGAGAATGAGAACGGAGGTGCAGGTGTTTACTCTGCCAGCTTGAGGAAGCACTATCTATTAGCAAATGAAGAGTGGAAGGAAGATGTAATGCCAGAAATTTTAGATGGGCACAATGTCTATGACTTTATTGACCCTGATATCTTACAAAGGCTTGAAGAATTGGAGAGAGAAGAAGGTCTTCGTCAGGATGAAGAAGGAGATGATGATTTTGAGATGGATGGCGTTGAGCTGACCCCTGAAGAACAAGCAGCATTAGCTGAAAGCCGGAAACAGAAGAGTTTGCTCATTCAACAGCATAGAATTAAGAAAAGCACTGCAGAGAGCCGACCCACTGTACCAAGAAAGTTTGACAAAGACAAGGAGTTCACTTCAAAAAGAATGGGAAGGCAGTATCTGCTTTGGGGCTGGATCCAACTCTAGCAATCAATTGAGCCCGTAGTAAATCAAGGGATCGTAAGCGAGAGAGATCAGTTGAACGTGGAGATGACATTGGTAAGGATGCAATGGATGTCGACGAGATTACTCCCAACAAGAAGCAAAGATTGAGGTCACTTTCCATTACGGCAAGATCAAGGTCAAGGTCAAGGTCACGACCTCCAGATGAATTTGTTCCAGGGGAGGGCTTAAAGGACAAAGCCCAGAAGAAGATGGCTGTAAAGATGGCTAAGGGTTCTTCTAAGAAGAGGAACAAGGATGCTCGGCGGGGAGAGGCTGATAGAGTTATTCCTACTCTGAAACCAAAACATCTCTTCTCAGGAAAGCGATCAACTGGGAAAACTGACCGGCGCTAGTAAACCAAGGTATATCTTGCTACCATTTGATGCTCCTATGACATTTTACAGGCTCCAGAATATGTTTTCTCCATCTGCTCTTGCTTTCTCAATAGTTATTTTCTTGTCTTCATAGCCACTTGTGTACTTTTGAGTTTTCAGAACGTTCGATGATGTGTTACTTGGTTCCTTTTTAATTCTTGGAAAATCGGTAATTGATGCGTGCAAGATTTCAATTATTACCTTTTGTTTTCCAGATGGCATTTTATCTTGGAATTTGCTGATGGTACCTGTCAAGATGCTTGTGTTGCAATATCTTGGGTGGCGGACAGAAAGGCTGAAAGAAACTCAGCTTATTTAGGACACTTTCGCAGTTGAATTTTCCGTCTCTGTTATTTCGAGCTTTCCTTGCTGTTTATTTAAGCTATTTTTCATACTGTTTTTTAACTTTAAATTGTTGAAGAATGTTAGTTTTTTTTGTAAAACAAAGATGTGAGGAAGATGTCAAGAATTCAATCTATTGAAATGACAAGACCAAGACTACAGATTGAGTATTTAAATATGTGCTTAAGATGCAGCTGAGCTTGCTGCCTCTATATGCATTTTTTGGAACTTAGATACCTGTTATAAGATTGTGTTTTCCCCGATGTTAAATTTTGTCTGGGATCTTTTGATTTTCTTTAGTACAGACTTTCCTCTCTTTTTGCATGAACTTTCTGTTTACATGCCCTAAAAAGCATATGCAGAAAATGAATTCATCTGCCTTTCTGTTTAGTATTGCTTGAGTGCAGACTGAAGGGATAAAAAAGCACTGATGAAGTCAACCCCATATTTGTTATGGTAAAGATGTGATATCACTTTTCCGCTGGGACTTAATGTAATATGTAGACAATTGGGTGCTATTATATTCATATTTTTTTAATGGTTGAAAATTCCATAGCTAATATTTTTTTTAATTAATCCTCTCCCCTTTGTTGGAGCTATTGCTCCTTTGATGACTCGAACCCACAGCGCTGAGATTGTAGGTGGGGGTGCTGACAATCGGAGCAACCCCTCTTGTCCCCGTAACTAATATGTAGCGCGTGAAGAGTCAAAATTTTGATAAAAACAGAGGCAAATTGGACACCACTTAAAGTGGTAAAATTTATAAGAGTTGAGACAAATTGGACAGTGACTGAATCCTGATAGTCATATCTGATTCCAGGTTCTCTCTAATACAACTTCTCTATGTTTTCACAATTAAACAATAATACATTCCAACTTGATATTGGCATAATTTTGCCTTGGCATGATTCCAGAACTCCTTTTAAACTCGATTAGGTTTGTCAGAGTTCGAAAACTCAGCAACTGGTTATACAAATTTTTTTCTTTCTGCAATTTATGTTGGTGACTTTCAGAGCTCCTAGTTTATGCCAAAAAACTGCACCATATGACATAAGAAACGTATATTACAGTGAATCAATGATTATATGGGGACAAAACATATATAAAGAATCAAATTACATACAGGTTTCTTGCTTGTATCTCGAATCAATTTTCACAACTACCAAGAATTGTTAACTCTAATTTCGCCAAAAAAGAAAAGAAAAAAGTTAGATTAGACATCATAAAGCAGAGTACTAGAAAGGCCAAATATGGGCTACTATGACTGTAATATCATCATACTTTCCACCACTGTGCTCAAGTCCAGCTTTGGAACATTCCCTAACATAAGGCGTGTAAAGCTCTGTGTTCTTAGAATTCTCCAGTGCATATTGCGCTATCCTCCATGCCAATGTATCAGGCGCATCCGATTCCCACGAGTCCACTCCATTGTTCACAACAAGTTCTAACTCAAAATCATGAACATTATCGAACAATCCATCTGTTCCCATCACTATTATATCTCCTGCTTTCACCTGAAAACTAATCTTCTCTGCAACACTTGGATCATTAGAATGTTTGCTATTCCCCAACTGAAAAGGACAGTTAAACCTCGACTGCTGAATTTCCGATTTGTACACAATTACCCCGTCTCTGATCACCACGAACCCGCTATCTCCCACGTTAACAGCATGCAGAGTGTCATTAGCGAGCGTCAACATACAAGCAGTAGAAGAACCCATAGCCTTTGTATTCAAGAAAGCTTCATTAAGTACGTTCATCAAATCAATATTAGTCGTACTACTTTTATCATCTTGTTTCTGTTTTTGAATGAATAATTCAGCGTTTTCCATTAATTCCCTTGAGTACTTTCCTGAATCAATACCCTTTTTAGCCCAACCACCAACTCCATCAGCAACGCCTATAGTCTGCTCCTCTGCACATATAAAGTGTGCGTCTTCTCCTAGTGGCTTTTCTTCGTTAGTCTTTGGTATGTAAAACGAACCAGCAACCATCCTCGTACTTCCACCAGTGTTGGACGACGTGTCTTTGTTTTCTTCTTGGGAACAAAAGTTAAATATCGGAATGATGTTGGGAACAGGATCATCTGTAGTAATGTCGAAGGATGTTGTCATCAAATCCTCAGGGCAAAGCAAGAATTGGATGAAGTCAAGTTCTGACTTTTCCATGAGTCGCTGCTTCTTAGTAAGGATTTCTGTATTATCTGCAGACTCAGATTCATCAATTTGTCGCTTCTTGTTATGTACTATTTCTGTAGCCATTGAAGGGAGGGAGAGTATAGAAAATCACAAGACGAAGGGTTTATTATATAGGAGATATATATAAGCCTTAAATCCTAATTAATGTAGGAAACAGAATTTGTTACTTTGACTTCAAGTCATGTTTCTTTCTCTCTTTTTTCCCCTCATTGTTTCCTATTTGTATAGAAATTCGGAAACTTATTTCATTTAACTTGAAAAAAAAGAAAAGAAGAGGAAAGCAATTTAATTTCTTAAAGTCGCTGATTGTTTTGTTATTTATATCTCTGACGGGAAAAAGAAGATTAGAAATATAAGATCCAATTTGATATTTGGTTGCGCTCAATTTTTTTTAAACCGTTGGTAACTTTGTTCTTAATGTTTTAACTTATTTCTCGATATTTCTTAAGTCAATTAAAAGCTTACTATTTCCTTATGCTTATTATTTGGCCTTTTTAATTAATAATTTTTTAATGGTGACATAAGGACTGCAGTAAATCTCCTTTCCAAGTCTTCTAGTTCTTGCTTCGATTTTTCAAGTTTTTAACACACTAGTGTTAGAACCCGCACGATACGTGAATAATTTGACAGAATATTAATCTTATAAAATTATGATTCTAATATATCATATTATTTTAATAAATATTAGTTATTATTTTATTATTTAATATAATGTACATAAATATAATAAAATCTATAAAAAATCAAAGGATACAAAGCATTATAGTAAACAAATAAATTGTTTATTCCTTGTTTATTCTTTATTGAATTAGCAAGTACTTAGTACTATACATTTACTAATGTAATTTTTTATTAATTTATCATTTGGCTTAATATTTTAATACTACTTCTCTTCTAGTAGAATATACGTATATAGTTTCTTATTATGGAAATATATATTTTTATACTTATGTTATACTGTTTAAAATTCTCAATTGTCTAAATATATCAATAATTTTCTTGAATGTTATATATTTATATTTTATTTATTAATCAATTCAAAATATAGATGTTATAAAACTATCTGTATCCACCTCCTTTCATACATTCTTTTTTTGTACTATAATATTTGATTAGTTTTCTCATTTTATATTTTACTGAAACTTTAAATAATATAATTTTTTTTTACTAAATTATAATTTTGAATTCATCAAAAATATAAAGAGATAAGCCAACGTACTAATATTTTTACTAATTAATAAAATGTTTTTTATATATAATATATTATCTTATGTATTATATCCTAATAGTTTCTTTATATTTTTGTATTTTTCATAATGAAATTATGAGTTCTATTTATTAGCTAAATTTTCCGACATGAGAAATTTAATTAGTATATTTATTTTTACGATATAATTTGATTTTTTTTTAGTATTCTTCATTTATGACTAATTGTTTATTATGATTTTAGTTATGTGTATATGTACGACTTTTCTCATAATAATTATAATTATTTTTATAAGTCTTATATATATATATAGAGTTAAATTGACATATCAATTTATCCATTACTTAATATTGTTAAATTGACATATGAATTATTAATACATAACCAATTTAGTATAATAACTACTCCCATATATATATGTATACACGCACACACCACTACAACTATATTAGGAAGAAATTATTCTCCAATTTGAATGAGTAGAATATTTTTTTGTATTTTCGTTTTTTATTGATAATTATAAGATATCTATATTTATTAATTCAAGTAGTGTAACCAATTAATTCAAAATTGAAAATTAAAAAAAAATTAGTTAGAAAAGTAGTATATTTTGTCTTAACAATGCCACTTGGCTTTTTGTGGTTAAGACACTTGTCTTAATGTAGTATTTTTGCTTCTCCTATTTTACTAATGTGATTTTTTATTAATTTATCAATTGGCTTAATATTTAAATAGTACTTCTCTTCTAGTAGAACATACGTATATATTTTCTTACTCTGGAAATATATTATTTTATACTTACTGTTTAAAATTCTTCAATTGTCTAAATTTACCAATAATTTTTTTGAGTGTTATATATATATATATATATATATATATATATATATATTTTATATATATAATATATATATATATATATATATATATATATTTTAAATTATTAATTAATTCAAAATAAAACTATTATAAAATTATCTTTATCCACCTCCTTTCGTACATTCTTTTCTATTATAATATTTGATTATTTTTTTCATTTTTATTTTACTGTATATTTAAATAATGTAATTTTTTTTTGCTAAATCATAATTTTGAATTCATCAAAAGTATAAAGAGATAAACCTTCGTACTAATATTTTTACTAATTAATAAAATATGTTTTATATATAATATATTATCTTATGTATAATATCCTAATAGTTTCTTTATATTTTTATATTTTATATTTTTCATTATGAAATTATGAGTTCTATTTATTACTAAATTTTCCTACATGAGAAATTTAATTAGTATACATATTTTTACGATATCATTTGATTTTTTTTTAGTATTCTTCATTTATGACTAATTGTTTATTATAATCTTAATTATGTGTATTGTCGCGTCATATCCAAGGGGAGGTGCCTTGGTGCATGTTGTTTGCCGATGATATAGTGTTGATTGACGAGACGCGTAGCGGAGTTAACGCGAGGTTAGAGGTTTGGAGACAGACCTTGGAGTCTAAAGTTTCAAACTGAGTAGAACCAAGACAGAATACTTGGAGTGCAAGTTCAGTGACGGGACCCATGATGCAGACGTAGAGGTTAAGCTTGATGCTAATGTTATCCCCAAGAGAGCGAGTTTTAAGTACCTCGGGTCTATTATCCAGGGTAACGGAGAGATTGACGAAGATGTCGCGCATCGCATTGGAGCGGGATGGATGAAGTGGAGGCTCGCTTCCGGTGTTTTGTGTGATAGGAATGTGCCGCTAAGACTTAAGGGTAAGTTTTATAGAGTGGTGGTTCGACCGGCTATGCTGTATGGGGCTGAGTGTTGGCCAGTCAAGAACTCCCACGTGCAGAAGATGAGAGTAGCAGAGATGAGGATGTTGAGATGGATGTGTGGGTGTACCAGGAGAGATAGGATTAGAAATGAAGATATCCGGGACAGAGTGGGAGTAGCCTCCGTGGAGGACAAAATGCGGGAGTTGAGGCTGAGATGGTTCGGCCATGTTAAGAGAAGAAGCATTGATGCTCCAGTTAGGAGGTGTGAGAGGTTGGCCATTGAGAGTTTGAGAAGAGGTCGAGGTAGGCCTAAGAAGTATTGGGGAGAGGTGATTAGGCAGGACATGACGCTGCTTCAGCTTACTGAGGACATGACCCTTGATAGGAGAGTGTCGAGGTCGAGGATTAAGGTAGAAGGTTAGTAGGTAGTTTATAGTTGCTCACCGATAGTCTTAGTAGTATGCATGTCCCTTCAGATTCTTAGACTTTTATTATGTGATGTGGTTTTGTTCGCCTCAGGTATTGTATTCCCTGTTGCTAATATTTGGTACCACTTATCCTGTATCTTTTTTTTCCATCTTTCTTCCTCCCTTGCTTTCCTTTTCTTCTTCTTCTTGCCCTTCCTGAGCCGAGGGTCTATTGGAAACAGTCTCTCTACCTGCATTAGGTAGGGGTAAGGTCTGCGTATAGACCACCCTCCCCAGACCCCACTTGTTGGGACCAAACTGGGTTTGTTGTTGTTGTTGTTGTTGTTAATTATGTGTATATGTACGACTTTTCTCATAATAATTATAATTATTTTTATAAGTCTTATACACACACACACACACACACACACACACACACACATATATATATATATATATATATATATATATATATATATATATATATATATACACACACACACACACACACACTACTACAACTATATGAGGAAGAAATTACTCTCCAATTAATTTGAATTGGTAGTTTTTTATTTTTTGTTATTTTTTTTATTGTAAAATTATTTTAAAACTCCAATGTGAACGAGTAGAATATTTTTTTAGTATTTTCGTTTTTTACTGATAATTATAAGATATCTCTATTTATTAATTCAAGTAGTGTAACCAATTAATTCAAAATTTAAAATTCAAAAAAAAGTTAGTTAGAAAAGTAGTTTATATTGTCTTAACAACGCCACTTCACTTTTGTGGTTAAGACACTTGTCTTAAATGTAGTGTTTTTGCTTCTCCCATTCTATATAGATAAATTCGAAAAAGTTGTAACTTTTCAATCAATAAGTTATTCATTATATTAATTTTATAGTCACATTAAGAATGTTGCAAATACCATTTTCACGTCTTCTTCTTCTTCTTCTTCTTATTATTATTATTATTATTATTATTATTATTATTGTATAGTGACATAGGAATGCATTAATTCTTCTTTTTCATNAGATGAGAGTAGCAGAGATGAGGATGTTGAGATGGATGTGTGGGTGTACCAGGAGAGATAGGATTAGGAATGAAGATATCCGGGACAGAGTGGGAGTAGCCTCCGTGGAGGACAAGATGCGGGAGTCGAGGCTGAGATGGTTCGGCCATGTTAAGAGAAGAAGCATTGATACTCCAGTTAGGAGGTATGAGAGGTTGGCCATTGAGAGTTTGAGAAGAGGTCGAGGTAGGCCCAAGAAGTATTGGGGAGAGGTGATTAGGCAGGACATGACGCTGCTTCAGCTCACTGAGGACATGACCCTTGATAGGAGAGCGTGGAGGTCAAGGATTAAGGTAGAAGGTTAGTAGGTAGTTTATAGTTGTTCACCGATAGTCTTAGTAGTATGCATGTCCCTTCATATTCTTAGACTTTTATTATGTTATGTGGTTTTGTTCGCCTCAGGTATTGTATTCCCTATTGCTAATATTTGGTACCACTTATCCTGTATCTTTTTTTTTTCATTTATCTTCCATCTTTCTTCCTCCCTTGCTTTCCTTTTCTTCTTCTTCTTGCCCTTCCTGAGCCGAGGGTCTATTGGAAACAGCCTCTCGACCTGCATTAGGTAGGGGTAAGGTCTGCGTACAGACCACCCTCCCCAGACCCCACTTGTTGGGATCAAA